CTTAAAAAAATGTCAAAGAATCGATTACAGGACAGTACTGCAAGTTATTTTGATGTGCTTTTTGACACAAATGTTAGATGTCAATTTGATCATTGTCATTTTGACATCAAGGTAGTCACATCGATTAGTCTTATTGATTTTTTTAAGTGTTTTTTTCTATTTTGTTTTGACATCAAGGTGCCCCGCTGGGTAGGGTTTAAAATTGAAAATGAAATGAAATTGAAATGCCCAAAATTTCTAAACAATGCCCAAATATACATAGCAAAAACGATTAAACTATCATCATCATTATTATTATAAACTGCAAAGTATTATTAATAATAATAATATTAAATAATTTTTCACTATGACATTGTCTATCTTTTTATCAATGTCTATCAATATTTTAAATAATAAATGAATAAAGAACAAGTTTCTAATTCAGTCGCTCACAAACAAAATTAATTATCTTAAGCATCTAATAGTCATTAAATGAGGCTAAATTGTAACTAAACTACTTTACTTCTTTTCTATATAATCTACAAAGAGCCTTACCAAAAATTTGCAATTTAAAAATATTTACATTTTTTTAATAAATAATAAAAAAAAGCTTTAATTTCTGTCAGAAAATCCTACAACATATGACTCAAACTGGATTTCTGAAGGACCATAATCAAACACAGGTGATCCACCTAATCTAGGTGTTCAAGACTACCAGAGACTATTAAGAAGGTGTGAGTTGGAGGTGGTAGAAGATAAACTATGCAGAGATGTGGCCCTCCAGGAATTGAGTTTGAGACTACTGTCCCACAATGAAGGGCAATATTCTAAATACTGGTAAATGCCTGATAAAAGTCACTATTGAAAGCACAATCATTCATATATATATATATATATATATATATATATATATATATATATATATATATATATATATATATATATATATATATATATATATAAACTGCAACTGGATTTAAAATTAAGTATTTCATTTTAAATATTACATAATAAATAGATGGAATTAACAGCTTTTAGTCATTAAAACTCTTAAACTAAAAATAATTTTACCAAAAAAAAAAATTTAAATCAATTCAACAGGTTATGCTAGTGTCAAAGCTAGATGTGACATGTGTCAAAAAGCACTATATTTGAAAATGAGAAGAAAAGGAAAATCATTGATTCAAAATTAATAATCTGATTTCCATCAGCCTGCAACTGCAGCAGGGTCTTCGGTGACGTATGTTTAGCTTGTCTAACAACCCGGCTCTGTTCTTCCTAACCCTTTTTTCCTTTTTAATAGGTCTGTGACAGTTGCTGACACAGAGGTGCAAAAACCTCTCCTGTCTCTGCCGGACTGTGAAGTTGAGAGAAGCACTAAAAACTATACAAGACCACCGAGAGACGCAGACAGTCCTCAGCTGCAGCTCACTATTGTGTAACGGGATATTTAGGGCACATCTGTTTCCAGAGGGAATCAAGCGCTTGAGAACACAGGTTAACTGAGCAGTGAGAAATCAAGAACATGCTTCTGCAAACAAACACAATGATTGTCCCTTCAATGGTAAAATTGTCCTTACAGTCTGTAAAACCTAAAAGCAATGTTTAATGGTGTTGCTGCAGCTGACAAAATCCTGAGCAATCCCCTTTTAAGTGAGTGAATCGTTTCTTGCAGTCGCTGACTCATTCCGAGACTTGCCTTTTCAAAGCAAGTGTTTTTCTGCTTTTTAGTGAGAAAATAGCATTCAAGTGTGGACTAGCAAGAAGCACACAACACCGAACAAGTCAAATGCTGCACTGAAGCTGAAATTAAAGGGATAGATCACCGGGAAAAAAATCTATTTTTGACTTTCTTCTTTGAACTACTTCTGGCAGCCATTGATTTCAATGTATTTATTTTAAAAAAAGCTTATTTTAAAAGACTTGAAACCACTAAAGGGTGAGTAAAGGAGTATTTTTGTTAAGGACTGTCAAATCACTTTGTCAGATTACACGAACTGTTGCATATTTTTTTAAATAACTGCTTATCCAATGAAAGGCTATACTCCTTAAATACCATACCTTTTCTAATTTATTTACCAATATATTATAAATTATTGCATCAAATGCCTGCTTTAAATCTATAAAAATTCAAACTACCTTCTCTTTTTTATCTATCTTATTAGTAATGTTCTCAATAGTTTTTGTTAATGCCAGAGATGTAAATCTATTTTTCCTGAAACCATATTGCTCGTCAGAAGGTTATGCGTTTCTATGAAATTATTAAGCCTTTCAACAAAGAGTTTTTCCAAATTAAAAAACAAAAACAAAACTGAGATAGCAAAGAAACTGGTCTATAATTTGTAAAGTAGTGTTTATCTCCAGATTTATAAAGTGGAATTATCTTTGCGATTTTCATTTTATTTGGAAATTTACCAGATTGGAAAGATCCATTACAAATATAGGTGGAAAAGAAAAAGAAGAGCTGTTTTGATATTTCTTCGCAGAGCTATAATTGTTTGAGATGGAGTAAACAGACCAGGAATTCCAAGAAACCAAAACTTCCTGCAAAAGATAGATGTAAAAATACATCTTACATCATGTGTCAAAAATAAAAAGGCAGATTAGCCAAGAAGTTGTCGAGAACTCAAATTCGACAGCCGCCTGAACCGAGTTTAATTTAAATTAAATTAAATTTGAAATATATTAATCTACTTAATAAGACATCTGTTAACCCCCTGATGGTAAATGGTTTTTACAATGGAGTTTTTGTGTTTTTGGAAGCTTAAAAAAAAGGCCGCTATGCAACACCATTAACCGCATGAAAGAGTCAAGATCAGGGGCGGAGCATTGGGGTGGCTTCAGCAATGAATGATTTATCAGAGGCCCTGAATCATTTGGATTTGTTAAGTTTTACCAAAACACATTATGCAGAAATATTTCAATGAGTTCAATATTGCTTTCCCACAGGATTGATAACACAATATCAGCTGGGCTTTCTTGATCTCTTGCTTATTTGAGAGATTTCAACGAACACAGCTCCACGGCCGCAAGCGCTTTCTCTCCTCTCCTTAAAACAAGCTTACGTCACACACCGTGGTCCTGCATAGCCATGCCTCCTGTCAATCACTCAACGCAGCACTCGTGTCACCGCCACAAAAATGCACTTTTTTTTTTTTATCAAAGTAAGCTTGTTGAATATTGTGAGGAGAACGTTGGGTTACTGTTTGTAAATAACTGCACATGCAACAAAATCTGGCTACCTTTTTTTGATTCATTTAAGATTTACCTCAGATTTTTGTAGTTGCCTGCGATTTGACATAACACAGACTGGCATTTGACATGGCACAGACTGTTCTGATTAGCTGTAAGTTTAGATGTATTAATTCACGTTTATTTATGTGAAAGTGGAGTCTGACAACAATAAATATTCTTATCAGGAATACAACCACCTTTTCCAACCATGCTGACTCTGCCGAGATGTTAGTTAGTTAGTTAGTTAGTTAAAGTTTATATAGCACATTTTTTACAGCACAACATTGCCCAAAGTGCTGAACACAATCAATAATAGTTCAAATAAAACCTACATCACATACACAACAATTAAGGCAAACCCCTCAACATTAAAAAGGCTCAAATGCTAAAGAGCAAAGATGGAGTTTCAGAAGCTTTTTAAAAAAACAGATATAGTTGGAGCGTGTATGATGCGGGGTGGAAGCTCGTTCCAGAGTTTTGGGGCGATAACAGCAAAAGCCAGATCCCCACTTCGCTTACACCGGGACCTTGGTACCGAAAGAATAAACTCAGAAGAAATTAGTGCCCTACCAGGACTATACTCATGTAGGAGGTCTGATAAAAAGGGTGGTGCCAGATCATTTAAGGATTTAAAAACAAAAACTAATAGTTTAAAATCAATCCGTGACCTAACAGGCAGCCAGCCCAGAGAGGAAAGAACTGGGGATATGTGCTCATACTTGTTGTCAGAAGTCTCGCAGTCGCATTTTGTACTAATTGCAATCTATTCAGGGCATTTCGACTAATACCCACATACAGAGAGTTGCAATAGTCAAGTCTTCCCAAAATAAAAGCATTGATCACCTTCTCAAGGTCATTAAAAGAGAGAAACGACTTTACTTTTGCCACAAGTCATAAATGAAAAATAACTGGATTTAACAACTGAATTTACTTGTGTGATTAATTTCAGATCACTATCGAAATGAAACCCAAGTTTCTCAGGTTTTTGATACATTGATAGCTCACCAAAACATAAATGCAGAGGGTTAGGATTGCCAAACCTGTAACTAAAATATTAGGTCTGCTAGCTACTGTTATTTTATGCTGGGTACTAGGTAGGCTACTTCTTTTTTTAATTCAAATACTGTCCAGAAACGTTGTATATTATGGCTTAAATAAACAGGGTAAAATGGGGGTGTAGTGACCAAGTACATTTGGGCTAAGCCTTTAAAGTTTATAATGGTCAAGACAATATTTAAACTACTCTGATTGCATTCATCTAAAAGAAGAAAGGCATATACTAAAAGGATGGCTTGAGAGCGAGTGAATTATGGGGCAATTTTCCGTTTTTTATTCTTTTATCACTTTAAACAAACTTGCCATCGACTGACAAATAATTTATAAAAGAACACCTGTTTTGTCGCCACCTACCGGCATAACTACCCAACCCACAAAAAAAGGTCCTCTGAAAAACAAATGACAGAAGAAATCTCTAAGTGAATCGACTCATACGATCCGAGTCGCAGAAGTTGAATCAATCTCCCCACCACCAGCTCTCGCCCTCCCCTCCCCCGTTCCCTCTTCCTCTTCCCACATCTGGTTCCACTCAGAGTTTGGACTTTCGTGGCATTCCTTCACATCAGAGCAGCCGGAGCCAACAAAACACAACAGCACCCCAATATACAGCCAAGTCTCACTTCATTACCATTACTTTTTAAATCACAAAACACCTCATAAGCATGGCAAGTGACGGAGCAGTCGGGGGGAAAAACAAGAAAAAGTGATAACGAAGGGTAAATGTTTCCTACCTGAGTGCACGGCGCTCCGCTCCAGGCTCAAAACTAGAAATAAATATAAAGTGCATCTGCAAACGCTGATCCACGCGCGACTCCAGCGGCGCTCCCGGTGCTGATGATGCATGCCCGCGGAAAGGTGGAGGTTGTGGGGAGGAAAAGCGGCTGTTTTCCCCTATCCCGGTGAAGGAGAGGCTGGGCTGCTGGAGGACAGACGGGCTCTTTGAGGGTGTCCGTGTGTCGCTGTGTGCGTTGACTGTGATGAGCTCGCGCTGAATGAGCGGAGCAGACCGTTCACTTTCACTGCACACACCAACACACACACACAACGCTCGCTCACACACACACACTCTCTCTCTCACACACACACATACATACACACACGTCCCAGGAAAGTGAAGTGGAGGAAGGTGGAGAAAGAAGTTTGAATGACTAGTCGACACCCCGGGTTAAGTGTCCACAGGGCTGAGAATTCTACAGAAGTTTGAAACACCTCAGTGGGAAAATCAATAGTGTTACTTAATGTTTAGAATTTGCTTACTAGTCTAGTATTACTCAAAATAACAAAAACGAAGCACTTTGAAGCCTCCACATATGAAACCATTAAAATTCTCATTTTTTGTTATGGTTTTAATAACTGTATTGTCCAGTGAGTTTCAAAATAAATCGTTGATTAACATTTTCACAGGTGTTTTTGTACAATTTTATTAAATTGAAACACTTGTGGTCAAACATTAATTAAAGATTACAACTTTGTCAAGGTGCTCAAGACTTTATAAAGGCTATATATCTCTATACAGTGCATACGGAAAGTATTCATAGCGCTTCACTTTTTCCACTTTTTTTATGTTACAGCCTTATTCCAAAATGGATTAAATTCAACTAGATATTAAAGTTTGAGGACAAACTTTATGGTGGCTTGAAAAGCCGAATCTGAAAGTTTGAAGTGGTTGAATTAGCATGTTACTAGCATGATTCTAGCATGAATTAGCATGCTACTAGGATAATTCTAGCATGAATTAGCATGTTAGTAGCATGATTCTTACATGAATTAGCATGTTGTTAGCATGATTCTAGCATGAATTAGCATGTTACTAGCATGATTCTAGCATGAATTAGCATGTTGTTAGCATAAATCTAGCATAAATTAGCATGTTACTAGCATGATTCTAGCATGAATTAGCATGTTGTTAGCATGATTCTAGCATGAATTAGCATTTTACTAGGCGGTTGCTAGGGTGTTTTAAGTGGTTGCTAGGTGGTTGCTAAGGTGGTGCAAGGCAGTTGCTAAGGTGGTCTGACTAGTTGCTAGGTGGTTGCTAGGGTGTTGCTAGACGGTTGCTAGGGTGTTTTGAGTGGTTGCTAGGTGGTTGCTAAGGTGGTGCTAGGCAGTTGCTAAGGTGTTCTGACTAGTTGCTAAGTGGTTACTAAGGTGTTGCAAGGTGGTCGCTAGGGTATTCTGAGTGGTTGCTAGGTGGTTGCTAAGGTGTTGCTAGGCGGTTGCTAGGGTGTTCTGAGTGGTTGCTAAGGTGTTGCTAGGTGGTTGCTAAGGTGTCCTAAGTGGTTGCTAGGTGGTTGCTAGGGTATTCTGAGTGGGTGCTAAGGCGTTGCTAGGTGGTTGCTAGGGTGTCCTGAGTGGTTGCTAGGTGGTTGCTAAGGTGTTGCTAGGTGGTTGCTAGGGTGTCCTGAGTGGTTGCTAGGTGGTTGCTAAGGTGTTGCTAGGCGGTTGCTAGGGTGTTCTGAGTGGTTGCTAGGTGGTTGCTAAGGTGTTGCTAGGTGGTTGCTAAGGTGTCCTGAGTGGTTGCTTGGTGGTTGCTAAGGTGTTGCTAGGCGGTTGCTAAGGTGTTGCTAGGCGGTTGCTAGGGTGTCCTAAGTGGTTGCTAGGTGGTTGCTAAGGTGTTGCTAGGTGGTTGCTAGGGTGTCCTAAGTGGTTGCTAGGTAGTTGCTAAGGTGTTGCTAGGCGGTTGCTAGGGTGTTCTGAGTGGTTGCTAGGTGGTTGCTAAGGTGTTGCTAGGTGGTTGCTAAGGTGTCCTAAGTGGTTGCTAGATGGTTGCTAGGGTGTTCTGAGTGGTTACTAAGGCGTTGCTAGGTGGTTGCTAGGGTGTCTTGAGTGGTTGCTAGGTGGTTGCTAAGGTGTTGCTAGGTGGTTGCTAGGGTGTCCTGAGTGGTTGCTAGGTGGTTGCTAAGGCATTGCTAGGCAGTTGCTAGGGTGTTGTGAGTGGTTGCTAGGTGGTTGCTAAGGTGTTGCTAGGCGGTTGCTAAGGTGTCCCAAGTGGTTGCTAGGTGGTTGCTAAGGTGTTGCTAGGTGGTTGCTAAGGTATTCTGAGTGGTTGCTAAGGCGTTGCTAGGCGGTTGCTAGGGTGTCCTGAGTGGTCGCTAGGCCCTTACTAAGGCATTACTAGGCCGTTGCTAGGTGGTTGCTAGGCGGTTGCTAGGGTAATTTGGGTGGTTGCTAGGCAGTTGCTAGGGTACCCTGGTTGGTTACTAGGCAAGCCTCACATACATGATTGATAAAACATTTATACTTAGTAAGCATTTCTAGCAAGTTACAGTACTGGGCTAGTCAATATTAGCATGTAGCTAGTCACTGCTAGCATGTGTAGCATATAGGAAGTTCCGTTTGCTAGCATGAGTCAAACGAGCCAATCTCCAAGTCTCTACGATGTTCTGATGCTGAGATATAGCTGTTGATGAATGGTTGCTAGGGTACTCTGTTTTGTTGCTATGGGCGAGGTTACAGAGTGAACTTGAATGTGGTTGGTTGTCTTAGTCGAATGAACCAACCCCCATGTCTCTATGACACTGCTATGCAAAGATATGCATCTTGGCCTATTTTAATGGAAGTCTATGGAATCAATTTGGGGGCGTGGCTTGTGAGCTTTATTATCATATTGAGATGCTCATTGGTTGTCTGAGTCAGATGAGCCATCCCCCAAGTCAATAGGACACTGCTATGCAAAGATATGCATGTAGGCCAGTTATTAACATGAGTCTAGTTTGAATTAGCATGTTACTAGCATGATTCTAGTACAAATTAGCATGTCATTAGCATGTTTCCAGTATGAGTTAGCATGTCATTAGCATGATTAGCATATGAGTAGCATGTTGCTAGCATGATTGGCATGTCATTAGCATGTTAGAATTATAAGCATTTGATAGCACAGCTAATTACATTCTATAGGACAGTTGCTAGGGTGCAGTATGTGGTAGTTAGGGGTGTGGCTAGAAAGTTAAAAGGCCATCAGTGATTGGCTGCTGGCTAGACTGAGTTAAATGAGCTCAGCCATTAGTCTCTATGACAGTCTGATGCAGAGTTATGAGCTCACAAAGTTTGATCCCATGTTAAGTCAATGAGAGTCTTTTGTAATGGAAGTCTACGGGACAGTTGCTAGGGTGCAGTATGTGGTAGTTAGGGGTGTGGCTAGAAAGTTAAAAGCTCATCAGTTATTGGCAGTTTGGTAGACTGAGTTAAATGAGCTCAGCCATTAGTCTGTAGGACAGTCTGATGCAGAGTTATGAGCTCACAAAGGTTGACTCAATGTTAAGTCAATGGCAGTCTTTTACAATGGAAGTCTATGGGACAGTTGCTAGGGTGCCAAAAGTGGTTGCTAGGGAGTGGCTAGTAAGTTTAAAGGTCATCAGTTATTGGCTGCTGGCTAGACTGAGTTAAATGAGCCCAGTTAGAAGTCTGTAGGACAGTCTGATGCAGAGTTATGAGGTGACAAAGTTTGACCCAATGTTAAGTCAATGGGAATTTTGGGAATTTTCCGGGTCGTTTTTCGGAAAACCGAAAGTCGGATCAGTCGGAAAAGATATAGCAACCCGAGTCAGACCAGTTTGAAGGTTTGACGAAAGTTTGAGGTATGAAGCTTGAAAGGGTTAGGAGGAGATAGACTTTAAAATTAGTCTCAGAAGAAAGAAGAAGAAGAAGAAGAAGCAGAATAATAACTAGATTCTTAAAGTTTGAGAACAAACTTTGAGGCTGGCTTGTGAAAGCCTGACGGTAATAGTTTATTTAAACAGTTTTAAAAAGTATGAAAAGATAGATAGATAGATAGATAGATAGATAGATAGATAGATAGATAGATAGATAGATAGATAGATAGATAGATAGATAGATAGATAGATAGATAGATAGATGTTGTTAGCATGATTCTAGCATGAATTAGCATAATGTTAGCATGATTCTAGCATAAATTTGCATGTTGTTAGCATGATTCTAGCATGAATTAGCATGTTGTTAGCATGATTCTAGCATGATTTAGCATGTTGTTAGCATGATTCTAGCATGATTTAGCATGTTGTTAGCATAATTCTAGCATGAATTAGCATGTTACTAGCATGATTCTAGTATGAATTAGCATGTTACTAGCATGATTCTAGCATGATATAGCATGTTACTAGCATGATTCTAGCATGAATTAGCATGTACCTAGCATGATTTTAACATGAATTAGCATGTTACTAGCATGATTTTAGCATGAATTAGCACGATTCTAGCATGAATTAGCAGGTTGTTAGCATGATTCTAGCATGAATTAGCATGTTACTAGCATGATTCTAGCATGAATTATCATGTTGTTAGCATGATTCTAGCATGAATTAGTATGTTACTAGCATGATTCTAGCATGAATTAGCATGTTACTGACATGATTCTAGCATAAATTAGCATGTTGTTAGCACGATTCTAGCATGAATTAGCATTTGACTAGCATGATTCTAGCATGAATTAGCGTGTGACTAGCATGATTCTAGCATGAATTAGCATGTTGTTAGCATGATTATAGCATGTATTAGCATGTTACTAGCATGATTCTAGCATGAATTATCATGTTGTTAGCATGATTCTAGCATGAATTAGTATGTTACTAGCATGATTCTAGCATGAATTAGCATGTTACTGACATGATTCTAGCATAAATTAGCATGTTGTTAGCACGATTCTAGCATGAATTAGCATTTGACTAGCATGATTCTAGCATGAATTAGTGTGTGACTAGCATGATTCTAGCATAAATTAGCATGTTGTTAGCATGATTCTAGCATGAATTAGCATTTGACTAGCATGATTCTAGCATGAATTAGCATTTGACTAGCATGATTCTAGCATGAATTAGCATGTTGTTAGCATGATTCTAGCATGAATTAGCATGTGACTGGCATGGTTCTAGCATGAATTAGCATGTGACTAGCATGATTCTAGCATGAATTAGCATGTAACTAGCATGATTCTAGCATGAATTAGCATGTACCTAGCATGATTTTAACATGAATTAGCATGTTACTAGCATGATTTTAGCATGAATTAGCACGATTCTAGCATGAATTAGCATGTTGTT